CCCCCTCCTGCCCCTGGACGGTCCCCCGGTGCCCCCTCGTCACGGCGTCCCCAAACTGCCCCCGAAGACCTACAAGAGGGAGTCCATGGGCCACGCCCCCCTGCTGGACACGCCCCCTGCACTGTGATGGACAACCTCAGGGCATGGAGGCTGCTGATTGGACAGCTTGTAAAGGAGGCGGAGCTAACACTACAGCTGATTGGATCAGAACAAACTCGTCGATGGATTGACAGAAGAAAGAAAACACCTGATGGACAAATCAGGAGATCTGATCCAGATAAAGACAAATAAAAACAAATCATGTACCCTTTTTCTGGACCCTGATGGCGGCCTGCAGCTGCAGAACTTTCAGAACATTCACGTGTTTGTGGTCGGTTCTTCATTTCTGTTTGTGTCTGTGAGCTCGGACCTGATCGGACCTGATCACGCCTCATGCTGAACATGGAGGGTTCTGGGTAATGTGGTTCTCTGCAGACTGACGAGGTGTGGGTGTGTCAGAAACCCTCAGGTACTGCAGCAGAACCACAGAGGTACTGTAGTGGTTCTGCTGGACCTGATGATGTTTGTCTCTGATTGTTGATGAAGATGTGAACAAACGTGACAATGATCAGTTCTTTACAAAACAAGGGAATAAACGTGTTTCTACCACTGAGCTGGAAGGAACCACCGGGTCCTGATTTTATTTTAACAGAACCTGCGCTTAGCTGTCGTTAGTTTTAACAGAACCGCAGCTTCTGTGTCGTTATTCTATCTCCAGGTTCCATTCTGTAGACAAAGGAGGTTTTCAAGTTCTCATGCAGTCTGACGTCCGTCCACCTGCAGGCCTGAGTCCTGGGTCGGGGCCCGTCCAGGCGGATCAGGGCCTGTCCAGGCAGGTCAGGGCCCGTCCAGCCGGCTCGGGGCCCATTCAGCTGGGTCAGGGCCCGTCTAGAGAGGAGGAGAGGAGGAGGGGAGGGGAGAGGTGTCCACCCCCATCTGGACCAAGTACCGGTCCTGGGCTGGCAGAGCTTCCTCTCTGGAAGTCGCTCCCCAAAGCCTCAGAGAGTCCCCACGGTCCACATCCAGGACTTCTGGAGAGGGTTCTGTGATGGGTTTGGGTTCACGGCCACTCAGAGTTCTTTGTCCAGTTATGTTTTATTTATTTACTTATTTTTTTATTATTTTTGTTTGTTTGTTTTGTTGTTACCTTTTTGTGAAGCATCTTTGAGTGTCTTGAAACATCACATCAGTGTTGTTGTTGTTGTTGTTGTTGTTGTTGTTGTTGTTGTTGTTGTTGTGGACTGAACAGCGGGAGAACAGGAACATGTCTGAAACAATGAAGAGGAACCTTAAACCTCCGAGATGAAGGTTAAAGTGGCAGAACAGAGGTTCTCCTGATCGGAGGTTTATTGAAGGTTCTGATCCAAACTCCGCCAGCAGGGGGCGGCACCGCTGCACTGGTTCACAGCGACAGTCAACCTGGAAGAAGAAGAAGAAGAAGAAGCAGCGACCGAACCGCAGAGCTGCTGTTGTTGTTGTTGTCGTCGTTGTCGTCCTCCTCGTTCTCACTGACGGACAGTTTCAGACTCACCTGTCGGACAGGTGCGACCAGAACCCGGTAAGACGAACTGCTTCGTGCTGAGCGGACTTTTTTGACCCGGACCCGCTCCGGAGACCCTTGCTAACTGTGCTAACCAGGCTAGCAGTGCTAACCAGGCTAACTGTGCTAACTACTCCTGGTCCGATTCTACCGAATCCGAACCGGGTCTATATAGGATCTGTTAATCCTATTGGTACTTCTGGACATTCAAAACCGGGCTGAGGCGGGCCAGCGGGCTCAGTGGACCGGGTCAGCCGTGACCTACTTTCCACCCGTTTCTTAACTGACTCGGTTCTTAACTGAGACCCGCAGTGTTCCTCCTTAAATGTTTTCTGGGTTCAGATGAAGTCTTTAGGTTGAAAGTCTCCGTGGTTCTGTTCGGTTCCTGGTTCTGCAGTAGATGGTACTGATTCTGTGATGTTCTCAGGTGGATTCAGGTCCAGTTCCGGTACCAAAGAACAGAAGCTGCAGAGCCTGATGACAAAACGTTTATTTGTGGTTTCAATATTGGAAATTGCCAAAATGTGCTAATTTATGGAACTCATCAGGTTCTGGTGACAGAGGTTCTGGTGTCCGCGGTTCGGGTGACAGAGGTTCTGGCCACCTGACTGATTTCAGCCTGTCAGACCTTTACAGGGATCCAGGTGTGGTGGAGCTCAGGTGGTTTACCTGCAGCTGATCACATCAAGTCAACAGCGTCATGAGATCCTGATATTTATCAGGAGGTCAGAGTTCAGGCTGAAGCTGCTTTAGCTTTAGCGTTTGCTTTAGCTTTAGCGTTAGCTTTAGCTTTAGCGTTAGCTTGAGCTTTAGCATTAGCTTGAGCGCCTACACAGTCATAGGTAAGCTTAGACAATTATTACTAATTAGAGCAGCTGCTGCTGTTTCATAAACTCTGGGAGCAACTAACTGAGCTGATGATCCATCAGCTGAACAAACTGAACTGAGACATCAGAGTTTAAGCCAATGAGCTTCAGCTGTGAGACCTGTGAGGACCAATCAGATTTCAGGGCTGAACAAAACAGGACATTTGTCATCTTGGACTTTGGGAAACATTGATCACATTTGTTGGACCAAACAGCTGATTGGTTTATCCAGAAAAGGATCCACGTAAAAGTAATAGTTCCTGATTGATCAGAACACACTGATAATCAATCAGTGTTTGGTGTTATTGATCAGTGCTACAGTGCGCCACACACTGATGAATTTCGTTAAACAGGTTTTAGAAGCTGTGACCACAGCTGCTGCTCAGCTTCATCACTGTAGATTCTTTTCTGGAAAACATCAGAAAATGGTGAAAAATGTGGATCAGAGTCTCCTCAGATGTCTTGTTTGTCCAGAGATGTTCAGATTTGTTGTTCCTCTCTGAGATGACTGATGTTAGAAATTGGTGCTGAATAAAAAATTTAAACCACTGGATTATCAAAATATTTGAAGATTAAATCAATAGTCGATCACTGATCAATTATTGGTGTCACCTCTTCATCATGGTGTTTACAGACGGGGTCATGTGATGCTTCCCTTCCTGTCTGCAGATAGACTCCGCCTCCTGCAGCGTCATGGCTCTCATCTCTTTGGAAGACCTCGAGGGATTGGACGATGAGCAGCTGGACGATGACATCACTGACAACCCTGAACCAATGGATGAAGAGGAGAGAGACCGACTGCTGACACACTGGCAGGCTGTCGCCAGTACGCACCAGGTGTCGGTTCCTGCAGGTGAGGGGGCGGGGCCAGCAGGTACTTTATTTTGGCAGTTTATCACTTTGTTTGCTTTAACAGTGAAACTTCCTGCTGCGTTGCAGAAATGACTGGACCCATACAGGAAATGACACGCAACAGTACGCAGAGGGAGCCCCTCCCCTTCGCCAACATCTCACGTCACGAGAAGGTAACAGAACTAAACCGGACTGAACTTGAATGAACTGTACTGACCCGGACTGAACTGGACCAGACCTGACCCTGAGAGCAGACCTGTTCTCAGTCTGTCTTGTGTTCCCTCTAGATGGGGGAGGTTCTGTTCGAGGAGCGGGTCTATCCGGCTGGTTACTGGGCCTGTGTGACCAGAGGAGAACTCCTGTATGAACAGAGCATCTCCATGGGCTTCATGAAACTGATGCGCTTCATCTGCAAAGAGAACTCTGCAGGTCAGATTCCGCCCACTGCAGCACACCTGTTAGCCACGCCCCCTCACACACCGCAGCACACCTGTTAGCCACGCCCCCTCACAC